TAATTGTGGTAGGGGATCTGAATGCTAAAGTAGGAGAAACTTTTAGAGAGGGAGTGATAGGTAAGTTTGGGGTGCCAGGTGTAAATGATAATGGGAGCCCTTTGATTGAACTTTGTATAGAAAGGGGTTTAGTTATAGGTAATAAATATTTTAAGAAAAAGAGGATACATAAGTATACAAGATATGATGTAGGGCAAAATGACAGTAGTTTGTTGGATTATGTATTTGTAGATAAAAGACTGTTGAGTAGACTTCAGGATGTACATGTTTATAGAGGGGCCACAGAAATATCAGATCACTTTCTAGTTGTAGCTACACTGAGAGTAAAAGGTAGATGGGGTACAAGGAGAATAGAAGCATCAGGGAAGAGAGAGGTGAAGGTTTATAAACTAAAAGAGGAGGCAGTTAGGGTATGATATAAACAGCTATTGGAGGATAGATGGGCTAATGTGAGCATAGGCAATGGGGTCGAAGAGGTATGGGGTAGGTTTAAAAATGTAGTGTTAGAGTGTTCAGCAGAAGTTTGTGGTTACAGGAAAGTGGGTGCGGGAGGGAAGAGGAGCGATTGGTGGAATGATAATGTAAAGAGAGCAGTAAGGGAGAAAATGTTAGCATATGAGAAGTTTTTACAAAGTAGAAGTGATGCAAGGAGGGAAGAGTATATGGAGAAAAAGAGAGAGGTTAAGAGAGTGGTGAAGCAATGTAAAAAGAGAGCAAATGAGAGAGTGGGTGAGATGTTATCAACAAATTTTGTTGAAAATAAAAAAAGTTTTGAGTGAGATTAAAAGTTAAGGAAGCCTAGAGAACAAATGGATTTGTCAGTTAAAAAATAGAAGAGGAGAGTTATTAAATGGAGAGTTAGAGGTATTGGGAAGATGGAGGGAATATTTGAGGAATTGTTAAATGTTGATGAAGATAGGGAAGCTGTGATTTCGTGTATAGGGCAAGGAGGAATAACATCTTGTAGGAGTGAGGAAGAGCCAGTTGTGAGTGTGGGGGAAGTTCGTGAGGCAGTAGGTAAAATGAAAGGGGTAAGGCAGCTGGGATTGATGGGATAAAGATAGAAATGTTAAAAGCAGGTGGGGATATAGTTTTGGAGTGGTTGGTGCTATTATTTAATAAATGTATGGAAGAGGGAAAGGTACCTAGGGATTGGCAGAGAGCATGCATAGTTCCTTTGTATAAAGGCAAAGGGGACAAAAGAGAGCGCAAAAATTTTAGGGGGATAAGTCTGTTGAGTATACCTGGTAAAGTGTATGGTAGAGTTATTATTGAAAGAATTAAGAGTAAGACGGAGAATAGGATAGCAGATGAACAAGGAGGCTTTAGGAAAGGTAGGGGGTGTGTGTGGACCAGGTGTTTACAGTGAAACACATAAGTGAACAGTATTTAGATAAGGCTAAAGAGGTCTTTGTGGCATTTATGGATTTGGAAAAGGCATATGACAGGGTGGATAGGGGGGCAATGTGGCAGATGTTGCAGGTGTATGGTGTAGGAGGTAGGTTACTGAAAGCAGTGAAGAGTTTTTACGAGGATAGTGAGGCTCAAGTTAGAGTATGTAGGAAAGAGGGAAATTATTTCCCAGTAAAAGTAGGCTTAAACAAGGATGTGTGATGTCACCATGGTTGTTTAATATATTTATAGATGGGGTTGTAAGAGAAGTAAATGCGAGGGTCTTGGCAAAAGGCGTGGAGTTAAAAGATAAAGAATCACACATTAAGTGGGAGTTGTCACAGTTGCTCTTTGCTGATGACACTGTGCTCTTGGGAGATTCTGAAGAGAAGTTGCAGAGATTGGTGGATGAATTTGGTAGGGTGTGCAAAAGAAGAAAATTAAAGGTGAATACAGGAAAGAGTAAGGTTATGAGGATAACAAAAAGATTAGGTGATGAAAGATTGGATATCAGATTGGAGGGAGAGAGTATGGAGGAGGTGAATGTATTTAGATATTTGGGAGTGGACGTGTCAGCGGATGGGTCTATGAAAGATGAGGTGAATCATAGAATTGATGAGGGGAAAAGGGTGAGTGGTGCACTTAGGAGTCTGTGGAGACAAAGAACTTTGTCCTTGGAGGCAAAGAGGGGAATGTATGAGAATATAGTTTTACCAACGCTCTTATATGGGTGTGAAGCATGGGTGATGAATGTTGCAGCGAGGAGAAGGCTGGAGGCAGTGGAGATGTCATGTCTGAGGCAATGTGTGGTGTGAATATAATGCAGAGAATTCGTAGTTTGGAAGTTACGAGGAGGAGCGGGATTACCAAAACTGTTTTCCAGAGGGCTGAGGAAGGGTTGTTGAGGTGGTTTGGACATGTAGAGTGAATGGACCGAAACAGAGTGACTTCAAGAGTGTATCAGTCTGTAGTGGAAGGAAGGCGGGGTAGGGGTCGGCCTAGGAAAGGTTGGAGGGAGGGGGTAAAGGAGGTTTTGTGTGCGAGAGGCTTGGACTTCCAGCAGGCATGCGTGAGCATGTTTGATAGGAGTGAATGGAGACAAATGGTTTTTAATACTTGACGTGCTGTTGGAGTGTGAGCAAAGTAACATTTATGAAGGGGTTCAGGGAAACCGGCAGGCTGGACTTGAGTCCTGGAGATGGGAAGTACAGTGCCTGCACTCTGAAAGAGGGGTGTTAATGTTGCAGTTTAAAAACTGTAGTGTAAAGCACCCTTCTGGCAAGACAGTGATGGAGTGAATGATGGTGAAAGTTTTTCTTTTTCGGGCCACCCTGCCTTGGTGGGAATCGGCCAGTGTGATAATAAAAATAATAATATATTCATGTATTTTATGATTGTTCAGGGTTCAACAATTTAGGAAGCATATTGATTATATTTCCCTACAATATTTTGGGGGCCCCAAACATTCATTTTTTTCAACACTGCGGGCTTTTGTCCTTAACCTTGAAAAAGTTGAGGGAGACCTGAAATTTGAAAAGTATGAAAGTGGGTGCTGTGTCGACCTGGCAAGTTGTGGGGGTAAACCCCAATCCCCACCCTATCGTGAGCAGGAAAAGGGCATCAAAAAAGCTGTTCTTGAAAAAGGGTGCGACGTGTTAAAAAAAAAGCGATTCCCCTTCAAACATTAAAAATTTCGACACCTCCCCTCCCCCACCCCATCAATCATCCCAATCTTCATTAAAGGTAAGTGTCAATTATTCTATTGTGATTATTAGTGTTATTATTTTTGTAATTATTCTATTGCTTTAAACTTAAATTTAATATTTCATGTGGTAAAAGTTTTTTTTCTTTTTGGGTGCCTTCACGGTTTTAATTTGTTTTCCCCTTATTTCTTATCTGGAAAATTGATTCGTTTTCCAAATTTTGTTTTAAAACGAGAGCTCTGAAGGTTTTAAATAAATAACGGGGGGGTCCACTGTATATACACTAACAGTCACGGCATTTCCAAAGTCTGCAGCCTGTGTCATGCAAAATGGGGTTTACCTCCTCAACATAAAAAGTGTCTTTGCATTTTTGGGCGCTTTTTTGCATGTGCACAGACAAAACATCTCTTCTGAGCCATTTTCTTCAAAGTAGTAGCAGGCAGTTGTATTAAGAAGTGATCACCAGGCCTCAGTCAAGAGGGTGATTGATGATCAGTTTGCAGGCGTTGTTCTATTGCAGGTGTTGTTACTTGGCACTTGATAATATTTGTCTGATGACAGAAACAAAATTGACCATATGGTGGTTTGTTTCTGGTCTTCAACTTATACACATTATAAGCATTCAGCATGGAAATGCCCACAAGATGAAAAAAGAGTTTTATGTACCACTTATAACTCTTGCGAACACAATAAGCAAACCCAATTTGCGTATCACATTTGTCCACTGAGTGCATATTGAGGGTGTAGTCCATCACAGCTACAGGTTTTACAATGGGTTCATTGGTCTCTCTATGCTGCCTGCCAGTGTCTGTCATTTTGTTTCGGTGAACCGATAACAACAGTGTGACATCACGTTTGTCATGCCACTGAAATGCCATGATGCCATTGGCAGCAAACGCCTGCATCTCAATTCTGTGTGTGCCTGCATTAAACCTGGACATATGTTTACGATTTGCATGCACTGTACCACACACATCTGTCATGTTCACTCGTAAAAAAATCACTGAGTGAGGGGCTTGTGCACCAGTTATCAGTACATATGCCCCTTACCAAGATATGGTTCCATCATTGTTCTAACCACATCACCAGAGATACCCAATAACTTCCTGGTATCTTGCAATGTATTACTTCCAGTGTACATAATAATGTCCAATACAAGACCACTGTACCAATCACAAAATACAAACAACTTTATACCAAAGCGTTTCGCTTTGCTTGGTATATACTGCTTGAACGACAGTCTGCCTTTGAACAAAATCAAAGACTTATCAATAACAAGTTTCCTGAAGGGATAAAAATACATACTGAATTTCTGTTTTAGATACATAAACACACTTCTAATCTTATATAACCTGCCTTTTCTGTCAGGCATGGTTTTGTCCAAGAAGTGTAGCATACATAACAGTAGCACAAACTGATTCACTGGTATTATATCACTAAAAGCTGGGGTTGCAATGAGGCAGTCTGTCGACCAGTATGATTTGACACTGTGCCATTGTGCTCATACACAAGTAGCATAAGCATTATTGTGTCAAACAAAAGATACATCTCAGCCACAGTTGCCTCCTTCCACTGGTGTAGCCGTGATCTTGGTGAAAGAATTGTGTTTGCCATGGTGTACTAGCAGTATCTGTTGCTTTCCCTGACAATCATTTCCATCAGGGGTTCATCAAAGAATAACTCAAAACATTCCAGTTCAGTGGCATTGTTCCCAAGTATACAAGATGACCATAGGCCACTTTGACTTTCATCAAAGTAATGGGGATTGGGAACAAAATTTGCAGCTTCCTGCCAATCCCAGGTGCGGTCTGCTGGTGGATACTGGATATTGACAGGTGGTTGTGGAGGTTGTGGTTGTGGAGGATGGTGTGGTGGGTGGGTGGGTTAGGGTGGTCTTTGTTGTACCTGAGCTGACTCAGTGGCGTGGGTACCAGCATGGGCTGCTGCTGGTGCCTCATGGCTGGCACCACCACCACCTTCTGACGCATGCACATTTTTGATACCCACTGTAACAATATCATCTTCATTTTCACCATCTGTTCCTGTTGTACAGCCACAAGATGTACTCCTTACCCTTGGAATGGCATATGGCACACTACCAGAGTGCATGTAGCGTCGTATATACTGACGCTTCACTGGAGAATATTCCACTTCACTCTCGCTACTGGAACTGTTTTCAAGAGCTTGGAGATCATATTCACTATCATCACCACTGCTCACATCTGTGTCCTGAACATGGGAAAATACGAATTTCCTCTTTTGTTCTGGTACAACTGAACGTGAACAAGACGGCCCAACACCACGTGTGGAAGGTTGAGGGTTGTCTGGATTTTCATCACCATTACCACTATTATGTTCATTATTCTTGGTCACAAACTCCTCAAAACCCTAGAATTCATCTTCACTGACACTTCCATCCATATCTGAACTGTCACTTGGAAACAAAAGAGTCCCAATTTGCTGAGGAATGAGGAGTTTCCTACTGTTAGGCATGGTAGACAAAGTGAACTAAAATGGCGTTCCCACAATGCACCACTGGGTGCCCGATTTTTTCCTTCTGCACACACTGACCACGCAGACCCATTCTCTCACATGTAGGCCTACCAGCTTTCTCCTGCTCGATCTGAAGGCGCTAGAATTTACGCATACAAGTATGTGACCGACCCTGGCTGCAATGATATACTAGTACATGACCAACCCTCAAAGGGTTAAATTCAGCAAGGTTTATACAAGCATTGCACTGAACCTTCACTTCAGGGCAACTCTCACAAGAACAGATCTTGCAAGGGTTTGTGCAAGATCTGTTCTTGTTTCTGGTTAGTTATACAAAATAGCTAGCTGGTTTAATATGCATTAAAACCCATCAACTACACGATGGTCTTTAACCCTTTCAGGGTCCATGCCGTAGGTCTACGGCTTTGAGTCGAGGGTCCAAACCGTAGTTCTATGCCATGAGCTCAGCTCATTCAGATAAGATGTGAGTGGTAAATTTTGGACTAGATATGAGAGAATACATCTATGTGGTATGTGTGGATCACATAAAACAAATCCTGCAGCACACAGTGCATAATGAGAGAAAAAACTGAGACCATAGTTTTCGATTAAAACAGCGACTTTGCAGTGCTTTTTGTATGTTTTTATAGATGTATTTGCAATTTCTTAATCTCATTTGATAGAATGAAAGATATATTACAGAAATAGAGATGATTTTGATTGGTTATAGTTTTGGAAATGGCTTGAAACTGAGTTCAAAGTAGTGGAAATGTTAAATTTTCACAGATGTTCAAGAGTAAACATATGACCTCACACGTCTAATACACGCCAGCTGTTGGGTTTAATATACGTTCACAAATGTGGTGATATTATTTATATAATTATTACAATATTGCATAACAGTAAATCTTCTATTCTTTGGTTTGAATAAAAATTCATTATGTGAATAAAAAATCAAAATAGAATTAATTTGTAAAGCCTGAAAACATAACTAATGAACAGAGGAAATGTTAGTTTAGTGCCAGGAATGCCTGCATTGTTTATTCTGAACCCTATTTTGAAATTGGAATATTTTGATTTTTGCATTAAATTGGCCAACTTGCCAATTTCTGATTACTTTATTTTGTAGTTGAAACAGTTGACTGGGCAATTTCTTGTGCTCATTCGATAGAATTAAGTAATACTAGTGAAATAGCTAAGAATTTGGTTAACTGTTATATTGCAATTTGCCTAAAATGGGAGTCAAAGTTGGCAAAATCGCCGATGCGTAAATATAGCAGAGACATCAAAATTCCCAAGAGCATAATTTCTTCAATTTCCATCAAATTTCATACTTTTTGTTTTGTTACTTTCAGAAAAAGTTTCTCTACCATTTCATAAGAAAAAAAATAAATTTTTTTTTTTGAAAATTCTTGGAGCCTGGTGCACATTTTGAAATTTGGCCTCTGGACCCTGAAAGGGTTAAGGACCTCAATAGAAATAAGTCACTTTGTCTAACTTTTTTGGGTTATCCTAGGTTCTCTACACATATGGTGCTGTGTATGAGAATCTATGTAACTACATATTTGTGTACATATACCTGAATAAACTTACTTATTTACTTACTTCTATTGTGTCAAATGAGTACAAGGAACTGCCATTCACCTGTTTCAACTACCCATAAAGTGGTCAGAAATTGGCAATTTGGCCAATTTCACACAAATTTCAAAAGATGCCAATTTCAAAATAGGGTTCAGAATAAACAATGCAGACGCTCCTGGCACTAAAATAACATTTTCTCTGTTCATTACTTACATCTTCAGACCCCTCTTACATTACTCTTGCTTACCATTTGGAATTTTTATTCACACAAAAAAATAGAAGACTTACTGTTATGCAGACTACTGCAGAATTGTAATAATTGTATAAATAACATCAACCCATTCGTGACTGCGTATCAGACTGACCAGTTGGACACTTCGAGCCCAATTTCAAGATATTTTTCTTCATGGAACCAATCAAAATCATATCTATTTTTGTAATATACTATTTTCCATTCTATCAACCGAGACCAAAAAAACGAGAATACAACCATAAAAGCCATACAAAAATATACCACTAAGGAGTGGCTAATGGTTAAGAAGTGAACTCTGTTATTTATCGTCCGATTTCTTTCATTTTTGGTGTACGTTAAAAAGCATCTTTCCATCATACATTGCCCAAGTTTCAATAAGATAGCCCAACAAACAACTAAGAAAAAATATATTTACCAAAAATATTTACCAAGCCCAAGCCAAGTACATGTACTGGAAATACTGTAAGTCACTTTGTCTGAGTTTTTAGGTTATCCTAGGTTCTCAACACATATGTTGCTATGATAATCTATGTACAGAAAATAGCTTTTTTGTGTCAGTTTTATGGTGCACGAGTATGTATCACAGTTTGCCCTGTGCTACACTCCGTTTTCTCTAATATAAGCCTCCAAGACAGAGATAGGAGGATGGTACTTGTATCCCATATCCTCTTCATACCTCCGTCGGACCACTTGATGTTATGCCAAATATTATTCCTTCTGGAGTTTTACCATATTTTTTGTTATTTATATTGCTTATTATGTCATATTATATCAATTGTCATAGGTAAATAAGCTGTAGTGTTGACATTAGCATAATAATAAAGCATATTCCCCTGCATCACGAGACTGAGCTCATGGCAACCAACAGTGGCTTCAAAGCCACCTTATATTTTATGGACAATGTACAGTACTGTGTATGTGCTTTACACAACGAGAAGCATTTCTTTTACTCGTTGGAATCATGGCTAGGGCTAAAAGTAAGAGGGTTATAACAATAAATGGAGAAAAAGAAATTGGAATGACTTATGCAGCAAGTAGTGCCACCAAACAGCAGCAGCAGGTTGGTGTGGCGACCTTGGATATTTGAAATTATGCTAGCCAAAATTAGTGCCGGATTACTGATGGAACCGGATAACTGATTGCCGGATTAGTGATGACCGACCTGTACTGCATTTAGATGTCTTATCTTCTGCTATTTGTCTGTGACAAAAAAAAAATGTATAATGAAAAAAGAGAGTTGATAATGCTTCAAGTGTAAATATAAGGAAGCAGAATAACTAATACAGTGGACCCCCGGTTTGCGATGGCATCGGTATCCAATAAATTCGGTATTCGATACACTTTTAACGTAAAAATTTTGCCTTGGCTGCCATTAAAAAACCCGGTATACGCGATTCGTCCGAGACATGTCCACGTGTGGCCTGAACTGCCCCGTGTGTGCCAGTGTTTACAAGCCAGCCAGTGTGCTCGCATCTAAGGATACATTCGGTATATTCCATATTATCACAGTGTTTTTGGTGCTTGCTTCTGCAAAATAAGTCACCATGGGCCCCAAGAAAGCTTCTAGTGCCAACCCTGTGGTAAAAAGGGTGAGAATTAGTATGGAAATTAAGAAAGATTTTGAAGGGTTTGGGGCTAACCCTGAGAAGCCTATGCCAGTTGTGGAATCCATTGTGCCTATTTCAAAAATTAAGGAAATGTGTGCAAAGTAGGTTGAACTGCAAACCTTTATGGATGAAAATCACACTAACACAGCTATTGCAAGCCGTGCTGGTGACTATTACAATGACAATGTTTTGGCCCATTTTAGACAAATCGTAAAGGAACGGGAGGTACAGAGCTCTATGGACAGGTTTGTTGTGCGACAGAGGTCCAGTGACTCTCAAGCTGATCCTAGTGGCATTAAAAGAAGAAGGGAAGTAACCCTGGAAAAGGACTTGCTACCTCAAGTCCTAACGGAAGGGGATTCCCCTTCTAAACAATAAGTTCGACACTCTCCCCTCCTCCCATCCCATCAATCATCACCAGATCTTCATTAAAGGTAAGTGTCATGTATTCTATTGTTAGTAGAGTACTACAAACTGTGCATGTCTTCTTCAGTTTGTGTACATTAAACTTAATATTTCATGTGGTAAAAATCTTTTTTTCATACTTTTGGGTGTCTTGCACGAATTAATTTGATTTCCATTATTTCTTATGGGAAAAATTGATTCGCTTTTTGATAATTTTGGTTTACGATGAGCTCTCAGGAACGGATTAATATCGCAAACCAGGGGTCCACTGTATTATAGCAACATATCATACTAACAAATGACAAAATAATAACAGTACCAAAAAAACACAAAAACAATAATTTATAGCAAATTAGGCATAAATATAAAACTCTGAGTAGTGTCCATATGTCTGCTTTTAATGCCTTGAATTTACTGCAATTTAATAACTCTTAAAAAATAAATATAGTTAACTTTAAGATAAAAACAAATATCCTATATTAACCCTAATTTTTTTTTATATTATAAAAAATAATGTTACAATTTAAAAAAAAAATCTCAAAAAGAGCACATTTTTGTGGTGGTTGCAATGAGGTGAAAAAATCCCAACCAGTACTTACTGAGGTATGTAGGTGCGAAGCTGAAGGTTGTTGACAAACTGACGGTAACATCAGCG